ATTTAATATATTTTAGCAGTAGAATTAGGGTTGCAAGTCTCCTGTGGTTTAGCAATCGAATATTCTATCAAGTATTACCATTTTTTAGTCAAGTCATTTATTCACCTTTTTGTCATCAAAATAGCAGGGATACTACTTGAGCTCCAGAGTAGGACACTGTCTATACAGCAACTTGGCTTCCCACAGATACATGTTTTTATCATTTCTGTTCTTGATTTTAGTACTCCTCAGTATCTTACTCAGAGTTCACAGCTATTCCTTTAGTCTGTTTCATATCAAATTCAATGAAAAAACATTTTAATTTCCGTACTAAACCAATCCATACTAAACATGTTTTGGGGGGGGTAAAAGCATGATTCTAGAATGATTATAAGTCAAAGCAGGACTGTGTTGTGCAGAAACATTTAAGCCTGAAACAAGCACCACAGTATTTTGATTTCAATAGAGCCCTAAAAACTACAGCTGACAATACAGAGTCTGGCTTGGCCTTGTCCTGACCCTGCGGCCACCTTACCTTCAATAGATTTTGCTTACATTTGGAAAAAAGCTGTTTCACCATACATGGAGTTTGGACACACGATTTTTGTGCGTCTCTGGTCTCCGTCGCCGGCTCCAATAAACAGAACTTCCTGTGTCAGAGTGTTTATAAACAGTGTTGAGTGAGCGGCGTGTGAGACCAGACTGTCTTTGTGAGAGTCCAGGCACACTTTTAGTATCAACACTTTGGCATATGGTGGTCTCCAGTACAGACCACTAAACGCACGCCCGACACCAATCCACTCTTCTCAGAAAAGACGCAAAGTGACAAAAGCGTTGGTCTGATTCTTGTCTCACACTTAATAGAACATTGTATCAACTCTTTGGTAGGATGTTCTTTTGGTAACATACCTACAGTCATATAGTTAGTTTATAGGAGGGTTTTAACAAATTTTAGGAAACAACCGCCCACTCCATTTTTTGAACAAAACTCTAGTCTTACTTGACAAGCACGTCTCACCAGAATGATTGACAATTAGGAGGACCAATAATCTTGATGCTCCACCGGGAAGTAGAAAGCCCTAGAATATACCTTTATCTCAAATATACTGCGCTTATAACCCAAATTAACCATCACGCTAGGGTCTAACTTATGACCCATCAGAGCACTCTTTTGACAATGTAAGCTCCAGACACTCTACATTCAGAAACTTCTGCGAAACACAACTGGGCCGATGACACTGTCCAAACCAAGCAGATGAACACAACAGACAGCCAAAACTCTGAGTCCCACTTGCTTCATTTGGGCCAATTTTACAATGAGCACAATAAAGAAAACCTTGACTTGACATGTGACATAATGGGAAATCACGTCCAAATGTAGTGCTGGGTATTATGAGAAAGAAACCACCCACATAAGAAACCACATTCTTTATTACAGTACAGTAGATGGATGATTCTTGTGGATTAAAGGGTGTAATCTCTAGCATGTAATGTCATATTTGGAGACATATACATTATATGTATATATACATATACATATACTTAGACTTGGGATGGACAACAGTAATCTGCGGTAGTTTTTGACTGGTACACTGCTGAACCTTTTATATGGGTTCAGCTATTTCTATTAGGATCTACTTCAACAGTTGTTTTGTTGGTTTTAGTAGCTGTTTAGTAGTGTTGTTTCTTGGAATTGTTTTCAGCGTTTTGTTCCGAATCTGTCTGTGTTGAATGAGTGAAGCGGGTTGGAAGTTTTTAACCGTCTGCTTCATCCAACTCGTTTTCAGAACATGTATGCACAAATGTAAAATTAAACATATTGATTGAATTAAGGTATATACATAGTGATTAAAGGTCAACCTTAATTAGTAAATAGTATCAACATGATATTACAGATCCAACCAGGATAGCACATCATAGATCCAATATCGGATCCATCAAAGTTTCCCATGTCAGCATACCAGTATTGGCATTGGCAAATACTACACTCCATGCCCAACTGCTTCTACTGTTATGTAAAATGCTGGTGTGCACTTGCTTGTATATGAATCCTGTCTTGCAGAGATGGATAAATAATAATGCATTGGTTTTATATAGTGATTTTTTGGACACTCAAAGACGCATCTCATGTCTTTATTCTTTCACTCCATACAGAGTGGTGATAAACCACTACTGTAGCCACAGCTGCCCTGGGGCACACTGACAGAAGCGAGGCAACCAGTATGTGCGATCAACCCTTCCGATCACCACTAACCATTCACACACACATCAGACTCATTCTAGACAATGTGGGTAAAGTGTCTTGCCCAAGGACACAGCGACTGTCTGGTACTTTACAGCCGCAGCCGCCCCACTGCGACACCTGGTGTTCATAGAGCTCTCCCATCACAGTACTAACCAGGCCCTGCCTTGCTTAGCTTCAGAGGTCTGACAGGATCTGGCTTTCACATGCAGGTATGGCCACAGAAAGTGCAGTCATACCATAATCTCGGCAGTTTAAACACATCTGGAGTCTAATTGATCAGAGAGTAATCTTTGGCTGATGCATTGTTATGGCGTGTGTCTTTAAGTACAGTATAAAAGCTCTTGGCCACACAGCATCCAGCAAGGTCGTCTCTGGGTCGTCTGTGGAGGGCAGTTCCAAATGAAACATAAACAGGCGCTGTGTCCTCTCCTCTCCTCTCATGGATGGGCCGGTCCCCCTGCACGGGCGCAGGCAGAAATAATCTATCCCTCAGCTGTGCAGTATAATCTAAACAAACACATCTCTCCCGCTCCACATCTGGAAGCCCTCAGCCCATCTTCCCCCATGTCTGCGCAGGAATCCATATGTTTGGACGTCTGCTATAGGTCAATGCACTCGGCTCCACTGTCCACCAAGGGACGTCACCATATCAACTTAATGATCGTTTTGCAAATGACACCGTGGCCAAACAAAAATCCAATTCATATTCTTCAAAATTAAAAGTTTATTTCATCTAAAATACAACCGCATGTTTTAATTCCATTGAATGTTTGCACCTAAATATAAATGATATTATTATCTATCTTTATTCCAGGCTCAAATTAAGTTATCACTCTTTTACTCTATATCACTCCCTTTAATACCAACATGAAGCTAATAAAGCTAATAGAGGCAACAATTTTGTTCAGGCTGAAAGATTGAGAATATTTCCCGTAGTGGCTGCATTTAAAAACAGCTTCCATTAAGTTTAAGTTCGTGCAGCATGCCTCCTCCTCCCCATCACCGCTACAACAGAGGGAACTACTACACTTCATATCATAGCCCCACCACCTCCAGGGTTTAAGATTGCACTCTCATAATCCCTATTCAATTTCCTCCTGCAAACTATTATGGTCAAACATGTGTTGTCTAGGAAACATACTGTAAGTGTCTATTCATGCCATAACCAATATGCTTACAAGGGTAACTCAATAAATCTTAACCTCAATAATACTTTTCAAGTTTTTCAATAACCAATTATTCCACACTAGCGAACTCATGAGGAAGTCAACAAGTAATGAATGAGTGAGAATTATAACAACATTCAGGGCATTTAGAAGTAATTTTGATATTTGACTATGGGTCTCAAAGTTGACAAGCGTGACAAAAATCTAAAAACGTACAATGTTTTTCCAAGAGCGTAAATGCAAAAATAAGATTTGTTACTTTTAGAATATTCAACTCAAAATATTCACTATACCAAAATAAATAACACCATCAAACATTTAGCATACAATATTTAAATGTTCAATTCAATTCAATTTATTCTAGTCCTACATCACAACAGTAGTTGTCTCGGAGGACTCAACAAAACCGTTGAATCTTGTGAGTCATACTGATTTTGCCAGAACTGAAATGCAAGAGTTTATTTTTTCCTCATGTTTTATTTGTGTTATTTTCTATGCAATACCAGTCTTGTTTTTAGCTCCGTTACATATTATCATTGTCACAGCCAAACCAAAGAAACTACACATTTTCTATGTTGTTTTACTACAAGAAGCCAACATGCCAAAGCTCTGAATGCAAACGCAGGTCCTGTCAGGGCCATGAGGACAACACAGCCGCCCACCAGGGGGTTGATAGTGATCCGGAATCACACTGACATCTTGACCCCCTTCATTCTACTACCACGGACTATACCAAGAAGGACCAATAATCCAACCCAGGTGCATCATTCTACTGATTAATTGTCATAGAATATAGGAGTTTCATTTTCAGAGCATAGTCTCATTCATTAAAGCAAACAGCTCGACTCTAGCCTCAAGTGCTGGAATGTGGATCAAAGGAGGGAGAAAAAAAAAGGCCCCTTGCCCCCCTAAGCACCACCCATACATAGAGGCTCTTTCCCTTCCGACAAAATCACCCTTCTAAAACTCTTTTGGAAAGGACAAAACAACACAATCCTCAATCCATTCCATATTTTGTGTAGGCTCTTGTCTTCATTCCACATTTTCCCCGCACCCACAGTCAAGTCTTTGTGGAAAGTTGAGAGCTCTCCAAAACAGGACCACACACACACAGTTTAGGGCGTTCAACTGCTGGGGGCAGTCTGACACTCACCAACACACACACATGGCCACAAAATGGCGGCTTGGCTGAAAATTGCCTCAGATGTAAATGCAAACCACAATAAATCATATTTTCTCTCATTCCTTTATACAATAGGGTGCCTTTGTACTTACTTAAGTAACTGGAGTAACTTATTTCCTACATACATTGACTTACTGAACTACAGGAATGCAACCACACACACATTTTACACAAACAGATGATGCCCAAATAGACACAGGACACTTCCATTACACCTCCTATACAATCTAAAACACTTGACTGGACAATACAGCAAAATGCTTCAAATATGACTGCTATTTTCATCTAGCTTCACCTGAATTCTTAACACATTGTCATTACTTTGTGGAGTCTAAGACAAAAACATAAGAACAATTTCCAGCATTTAAAATTGCAAATGACACATTCACTATATCGTTAACTAAAAACTATAAGCTGTGTGTCTTACCTTCTACCCAGAGCTTCTCCACATCCGTTTCCAAGTTAGCTGCCCGTAAGCCCACCGCAAAAGCTCCAAAAATCATGAGGCCAACAAACAAAAACTTTCCGCAGTTCTTTTGAATGTAGCAGCCCAGCCTAAACAAAAGTCGCTGAAACTGGGCTCTCAGCCACAGAGGTGCTTTCCTCCCGGTCGCTCTGCCCTGGAAGGAAGGACACAACAAGGCCTGTCACACAATGGTCCCCCATGAACATGTTATAACTTATATTCAATTCATTATAACAGTGTAGGTAATGAACAACACATGAGGCCCATGGAATACTGTCAGTACATTCACACAACATGATCTGGTCCTGATCTGAGTCATATTTTGCTCTATAGGTCCTGATGTGGATTTGGTCCTTTTTAAATCCTTTTTTAATCCCTAATTTGATTTGGTACACAGTGCACCCCTATTACATATCACACTTCTAATAGTGAATGACCATATGCTCGAGCTGGTCACTAAAATGGTCAAAGCATGCAGTAAGACTTAAATGTAACTTTTTATGTAAAACGATAAACACTGAGATTGCACTTTACAATGCAATCTAATCTATCACAAAATCTCTACACACAGAGGACGCATGCATGTTGGTGAAAAGAGCATTGGATCCATGCAGGAGATGCAGCCCATGTGCAGAGAGATGTCAGCCCACTTGTTGTCAAACACCAGTGGTCTTATCATGTGCGCGGATGTTATTATAAGGATATGATGAGACCACAGACATAACCTGAGTCTAGAACTGGTCCAAAACTAAAGCTTTTACTCTCGTATAAATTGCGTGATGCATTGAAGTGGTCTTTCGGTGACAGGCTGTGAAGTACAGTGTAATACACGTGTGTGGATGAGCTCTACTCAAAGCCTCTCTGCGCTGATGTGTGTAAGAGTTTTCTGCAGACAGAGAAGGGAGCATGGTCCCGACACAAATACACTCCACACTGTCCCAGAGAAGCCGGCTGCAGAGAGAGAGGTGATCACCTTCACATCACAACACATCAAAACAAGACACAACTTCTACCGCAAGACCCTCGCATCAGTCCACAGACCTCTCACTCAGAGCACACAACTGCAGGAGTAAAGTGGGATATAAGCACCTCTGAGATTTGCTCCAAAGCGAAGCCCGCATCGCAGTAACTCGGCCGATGCAAATACTCCAAATCCAGCGGTGTGTTGCGGCCATAGCCCCCCCTGTTCCTCCGCGTTATCCTCGGCCGTTCGGGGTCTCTGCTTTCCTGCTCGGAGGGCGCATTAGCAGCCGAGGCCATGTTGCGGGGACTGCGAGAGCGTGCTGCTTAGCGTTTTTCCCCGAAAGCCCGTAGTAGTAGCGATATGCCAAGGCGACAACAAAGTTTTCCTCTCGGAGATCTCACACCCGTCAAGTACATACTCCTGGTGAAGACGGCGAGTCAAAGTCTGCGGCTTCCATCCCAACATTTCGTGATCCGAGTCTCCGCCGCTTCCACCGCACACTCGCTTCGTATTTGGGAACTTGGAGTCAGATAGCGCAACGTGCAAAGCGATTCCCATACATGAGTCGTCCGCTTGGAAAGCTCGACCGTCGTAGCATTCTGATGAGAGCTATGTGGTCTTCCCTTGGGCCGAGCGTCACGGCCAACTCAGAGATTCAATAGAAGTGGAGAAAAGAGCTCTCTCCATTTGGAGGCGCAAGAGGAGGAGGGGTGAGGAGGGAAAAAAGTTTGAGATCCCGCCTCTGGGGCTGTCAGATTGCAGGACTTTCTTGCATCTGATTGGTTCCAGAAGGGCAAAAATTACTCAGCAAACACGACTATTATTAGCTGCTTAGCAACAGCTCACTAAAGTAGAGAGACCACCCAGGCGGAGGGACCTCGTGTGTGCATCTCCAGCTTCAGGGGGGCTGGGGGCGAGCCAAGCGCACTGTGCGCACTGCCGAGGCGCTGTGGTTCTGTGAGGGAGTCCTAGAGCTAGTACAGGCGTGAGGAGCAGAGAAGAACCAGGATAGTGTCAGGGCTATTCTGCCGCCATCATCATGGAGGTAGAGGAGCCTCAGGTTACAGCGTTAGAGGAGGGACCGGAGCGAGGTGTCGATGTTGTCATGTCACCTCTGCCAGCTGGATTGGGTGCCTTCACGATTTATCAAACTTTTCACATCGAGCTCTACAATGGAGCTTTGCCTCCCATTCATGTAGGCCTAGTTTGTCCATTCAGAACAACTAAATAGATTAATATTTAGAAATTACATTCCGTCAGACCTCTGAAGCTAAGCAGGTATGGCCTGGTTAGCACTGAGATGGCAGACCTTTGGGGACACTCCTCAGGCAAAACACTTCTCACATTGACTGTAGTGGAGCTAAGGCGGAAATTCAGACTGGAAGTAAGTAAGTAGTAAGTAATCTTTATTTATATACCGCCTTTTCACTGCACATCGGAGTCTCAAAGCGGTTTACAATTGTTATTTTTTTTTTTTGGGAGTGGGGGTGCCAGTACAGGAGGCACATGCCAGACCTATTGTACATATTTTTTGTGGTAGGGGAAACCAGAGCACCCGGAGGAAACCTACGCAGACACGGGGAGAACATGCAAACTCCACTCAGAAAGGCCCTGGTCCAACCGGGATTTGAACCCAGGACCTTCTTGCTGAGAGGCAAGAGTGCTATCCACTCAGCCACCGTGCTATCCACTCAGCCACTGGAAGACAGAAAGAGTTAAGCTCACTGCGCTCAAGTCCTCCCGCTGTTGCTTCACGGAAACAGTATCAGTCAACCACACTCAGCTGCAGCACTGCCATCAAACATTGTCATGTATAGAACTTTATATTGCAAGGAAGCTTCATTCAAGCAGTAGCTTTCATTCATGCAGCAACCCTCCTCCTCCCCATCTCTGCCTCATCAGCCAGTCCAGCTTTTCTCCCTTCTCTAGTTCCCACATCAGGATCATCTAGGCCCCGTGGGATTTCATCTCATAGGGCACGGTCACATAGGGTTTTACAAACGAACTAGGCCAAGTGGCCCGGATCGTCGCCACAGGGGCGTGAAAACGGCCCGCGATTCACATGAACGTGTTGTCTGAACCGTGTCAGGGAAATTGTGCTGTAGTATAACACTCGGTCCAGCTGGTGGCGCTAATACTAACACCAGAGACTACCTCGTTGCCCTGGTTGAGATCCGCTTCTTTTCCTGTTTACATTCTGCTACTGTAGCTAACAGCTACTGTAGATAACAGCTCAGTATGGATCGCGTTGTTTAGGGAAAGATACATCTCACACTTGTCCAAATTGCTCTGATGCAAAGTGCAGCAGTTCAGTGGGTAACGTGAACTGCTGCACTCTATCTTAATGGATTTCAGCCATAATCTCTATCTTCATGGACCTCATGGTCCAACCCGGTCGTGTCACTTCAGCCCCTTTCCACGAATGGTGCATTCAGACCTCAAACGCTCAAACGCTGAAGCCCCGCTCATCAGACGCGCATTCTCTAGTTTTCAGACGCAGAGGACTTCACACCAGAACGTCCTGACGCGAGCCGGAAGTACCGGAAGTAGCCGGCCGGCTCTAATGCTAACAGAGCTATGCTAGCGGCTTCTTGTGTACAGATCTTCTGCAATATGCAGCTTTGCAGCGTGTCTTTGCTCACAGACATTCCACGGGCCTAATAAAACAGTAGTATGTGTTCACGGAGGTGCGCCATAATTTTTTTTAAATTATTAAACGGTATTTCCGCATCGGCGAACACACTCAAAGCAGTTGCATAAAGTCACGGGAGCATGACAAAGCATATTTTCACAAGCACACAGTCCCCCATTGTCAACCCTGGTTTAGTGCTGGTATAGCTCCTGTTTTGGCTGTTTACAGTATGTTCAGTCTGCTTGCTCAGACCACCAATGTCCCCGTGACCACTTTGCAGCTCTCTGATTGGTCGCTGCACGAACGTTCCGAGGAAAAGTTGAGCAAAGTTTATCTCCTGTGGGCGTCCATTTTCCGCTCCTGCTCCTCCCCTTTCACTCTACTCAGCGGTCCGTAAGTGCGTGCCGAGAGGTCGGTGCGTTTTGATGCTGCAACGCGCGTCACCATAGACTTTGCATTGAAACCCGACGCAACGCATTAGTTACTTGTTGTGGAGTTTGGGCTGGTCTTTAATCGGGCAGAAAGCGCAAAAGTAACACTGCACGAATGAGTGTAGCCTATCTTTGCCCAATTTGTAGTGGCTTCTCGTGGTTATATATAAATATATACCTGCGTATCGCATAGGCTACACCACTGATTGTAGAGCAGTGGTGTTTGTGAGCACCCCAAAGCGCCCTTATATTTTTGGAATTTGACCTGTTCTCTCACTTCTTTTCATGTTAAAGTGGTTCTCACCCCCGCTCCTCGGAGCTTACGTCACTCACATTTCCTGTTCAAATCTTCCTCTAAATGGGCGTAGCCTGGAGGACTGAAGGGGGCGTGAACGAGACTGGGCCGTTTATATTGCTCTGGGCGGGGGGCTGCTGACGTCAGGTCCAACTTGCAGACGTCAGGTCCAACTTCTCTGCCAGTGTTGGCGCCAGATTCAAAATTCAAATGTAGTAATACAGGTCGCCAGCAGATGGCGCCTCACATACGGTTTTAGGCAGAAAGTTTAACTTTCAACTAATTTGCACCAAAGTGAAAAAACTATGACCAGGATATGTAGACAACACTATTGGACACTCATTTAAATCGTTTATCAGCAAAAAAAAGTGGATTTGAGGGTGAGTTGTCCTTTAATAGTCTGAAAGGAACACAGTGATCTCAACATGACCGCCTATGGAGCAAGGAAAAAGATTCATCAATGAGCTTACAGCAGAGGCATCCCGGCCCACCCCATGACTTGCATATCATTAAGAGAAATACGGAAAGAAATACAGAAAGAAATAAAGAAATAAATAAATAAATAAATAGAGGGAAAAAAAATAGAGAAATAAATAAATAAATGCAAAAATAAATAAATAAATAGAGAAATAAATAAATAAATACAAAAATAAATAAATAAATACAGAAATAGAGAAATGAATGTATAAATGCAGAAATAAATGTATGAATAAATACAAAAATAAATAAATAAATATATAAATAAATAAATACAGAAATAAATAAATAAATAAATAAATACAGAAATAAATGCACTTATTCTCATAATTGCATGCATTTCTTTGCAAATTTTATCTTTTTTAAATTTATTTATTTATTTATTTCTGTATATATTTATTGTTTTGGCAGCCACGGTCCTCCATAATATACACTGTGCCGCCCAGTTTTCATGTCTCCAAATATTAAACACTAATATCACTGTCACCAAATGATTAAAAATATACCAAAAATGAAAACAGTTACTGTCTATGTTTATTTCCATCTCCATAGAAACCCCTTAACGAGTATTTCCCCACAGCCTGGGAAAGAATGCTTACCAATATGTTGCCATGCTTCTGTTGGAATTATTGTTAAATCCTAAAATGGAGCTGTCTTACTTTTAACAGCTGCTTGGTCACTAATAAATATTTCTTTTGTTGATTCCCATAAATTCCATGTTTATGTACAGTTCCTGGGAAATGACATCAGCTTTGTTTTGGGAACTTGTGGATTGACTTCATCATGTGAGCGTATACAGTATGACTGAAGGATTCTTTTCATGGTTTAGATGATCTTTGTTTTAATTATAAAACAAAGATCATCTAACCAGAAGGGGCTGGTGCTCTGTGTTCTGGGGGCAGCTCTGACTGCCACTCCCTCAACCCAGAAATGGATTATGGGGATGAAAATGGATGGATGGATGGATGTTTTACTCATCTAAATACTTATTAAATGTTGTATTTGTACCCATATTTTTTGAAGTGTAGGGGAAAGTGCATGTGTCTTGTACAAATTTATTTTCAGTATGTTTTTTTTTTTTTACCCATTATTCAAGCAGAGCCTGTTTTAACCAGACCAGTAAAATCAGAGGCAGTTTTCAATAAATATCGGAGACAACCGAGCGTGGCCCAACTGCTTGTGCGTTTTTAGACATCAAATGTGACATTTACTTAAAAACAAATGTTTTACTCATGACATGATAAATGTAACCAGTGGGCTTGTGCAAAAAAATTATCTTCATACACAAGTTTGTTCTTTTTCCCTTGAGCAAGCCAACCCTCAAAGAGTGTTCTTGAAGCCATGTTGAAGTGGACTTCGCACCGACAACAATTCTATCCGATAATACTACTTTTTGTACATATGTTGAGTTTTATTGCTTATGTTATTATATATATTATACAGGTTAGGGACATTGGTTAG